CTGAGTTCTATAAATTAAATGTATATAGTTCTTATACACATTTTAATAAAAAGCAAGCCACAGCAAAACCTGTGAAGATTAAAAATAATAATAATAATAATAATTTATAAATATTATATATACATTATTATACCATAGTAATAATACAAAACTATGCTTTTACAATGCATTGTACAATGCAAAGTAACAACATTAATAATTATACATAAATAATATTGTAATAATGTAATAATTGAATTGTTAAATTTTATAAAGTTTCTGCAAAGCAATCTCTGTGTTTCCACTTGATGGATAATGTTCGTCTGATTCCTTGGAAGGATCACATGATTGACACCATTTTTTATTGGTATTAGGCCGTTTACATTGCTCACACATTCCGTAGCTGGTATCTCTTTTGCTGTAATAATAATCAAGAACAATCATGTATTGTTCGGTTTCAGTATCTTGAACTTTTCCATAAGTGATTCCATATATTTTATGTTTCACTTTATTCTCTTTTTGCATCATTTCATTAAGCATATCAAGTGGCTTACAAGAAATATGTTTCATTTATTAGTCTTACTTAACTCTGTTAGTAAATTAATAACATAATGAACAATTTAAATTTACATACTTTTTTTATATCATCCGAAGAATTGCTCAACTTTATGAGATCAACAACGCATGACTTAATGCGTGATCGTTCATTTCTTCTAGATTCATTTTTAATCGTTCGTATACCATCCTCCCAAATTGCTATAAAAAAATCCAATTCCTCTTTGATTTTTTCTCTTTAATTTCTTCCACCTTAATTTCTTCCACTTTAATTTCACCCTCTTTAATTTCATCCTCTTTAATTTCTTCCTCTTTAATTTCTTCCTCTTTAATTTCTTCCTCTTTAATTTTTTCCTCTTTAATTTCTGGCAAATTGTTTTCATCTATTGGAACCCATTTAATCTTTTTGATTATTTTTAATTTATCGAATTGAATCCATTCAATAATCTCATCGTATTCTTTAGCTTCAAGTTGAAAATCTTTGATAACTTTGTCAATTTCTTCATTATTGCTTGTCCATCCCTTCTCGGTTTCTTTCCGAGGATCACAACGTTGGCACCAAACTCGGGAAGTGTTGTATCGTTTACAATCTTTACATTTTCCGTAAAATCGAATCCTTTTATGACAAATAACATTTATTAGACTTGTATTAGTTCATTCGTTTTTGTAAGGTTTTTTAAACTTATGAATCTTAAGAGTCAAATGTGTTAGCAGCAACAATAACCTTTAAATCCGTACGTAAAATGATAAGTGTCTTATGAATCATCAATGTTGATTTTCTAAAATAAATATAAAATTGATTCATACCTCCTATTAAATGTATGTAATTAGTAAACACTATAGCAATATTTAATGAATAATTTTGTGATGAAATTTTATACTCACAAGCTAAGAATTTTAATATTTGTGTAAAAAATTAGAAGATATAACTACTTGTTAATTGCTAATTTTATAAACCGCACTTTAATACTTACTCCCTTTAATGCACGTATAATTTATTATGGTAAACTAAGTTAGGATGTAACATTTGAGCTTTAATAAATGAATGGTATAAAATTTTATGCCAACCTCCTAATGATTGATTTAATTAAAGACAACTTAATATAGTGAGAAATGCTGATTTTAGAAAATAAAGTAAATACGAAAACAAAATTGTACCCACTCATAAATATACAACAACACTTTTTTGTGCATAAATCTAAATATTATCATGAAAATCTTAAGGCAAGATGTAATTAATAAGAGAAATGGTACTAAACTATATATCACGGTTAATTTGTAATAAATGACCTTAAAAATAAGATATTTAAATATAAAAAGAAAATTATTAATTAATAAAAACAAAGTTTTACAACTAAATATAATAATGATTTCTCACTTGAATAACAATCTGTGGAATATTCCTAAAAAAAATGTCAAATAACGCTCCACATATGATTGAGAACCTAAAAACCCGTCCAAATATATTAATTTGGTTGACTTCCTCGGGAATTTCATCAGGTCTAGGTGCGTCTTCCAAAATCGTTAAATACTTATAATCAGCTTTTTCTTTATTAGAACCAGGAACTTCTTTATTAGATTCAGACGCATCTTTATTATATTTAGGCGCATCTTTCTTAGGTTTTGGTACATCTTTCATGATTGTTAGATACTAATAATCAGTTGCTACTTCATTAAATCTAGGCACATTTTTCAAAATTGTCAAATACTCGTAATCAGTTGCTGCTAGTATAGTAAACACAGTCATTAAACCCTTATTACGAGTAACCCAATCTTTAAAGTCTTTTCCAACAATTGGATCGTTAGATCCATTGTAGACAGTATAAATAGCTATACATAAGTTTACGAGTAGCGTAATACTAAATAAAAGAACACTTTATGTGTTTGTTTTGTTTTAGATAAATTAAAAATAAGCAAACAAAAAATTTAACACTAGCTTAATCATATTTGATAATAAATACCTTGGCAAATGAAGCACCGGTTTATCAATAGAATAATAAACGATAAAGAGAATTGAAAGAACAAAATTAGGGATTATTAATCCAAGCCTTAATATTGCAGAACTTATTGCTTCAGATTTTTTCGAATATAGCTTATAACTCAGTATATATAAAAATATGCATATTATAAAAATTACAATCGCTGCAATTATTTGTGATTTGAATTGATCCCATAGGCCCTCTATAAAAGGAAAGTTAATCGTGTGATTCAACCTATCGGGATGTAATCATCAATTAACACACCTTTTACTTTAAAGCCAAATTTTTCATCTAAATCATTTGTTGTGTCAAATGAGAAAATGGTCATTTTTTTATTAGTAATCATATTATTTATATCTGAAAGTACCCCCGAAACAGTATTTTCAGTTTCATTAATTGGCAAATCTACACTGATTGAAATTACAATTTGATCCAAGTCGTTGTAATTCTGGAATTTGTGATTTGAACTTAAACGCTCCCACCTTACTGGTACTTTAGAAGCAAGCTCATTTAATAGAGTATCAAAATATGCTGACAGATTAGTAGTTCTAGATAGCATTAAGAATTTATTGGAAGCTTCTATAGTAAGTGCTAAACACGTAACGGCAGTTTCTACAAGGAAATATAATGAGAACCGTATGAAGCATGTTATATTCGCATAAATATAATGCCAATACCTGAGGATCTCACATTATATGCTAAATGTTCTAAAAAAATAAAAAGTTAAAATGGATAATATAGATACAGTAAATAAAAAATAAAAAATACATCTAAGTTACCTGTCTTAAATTTCCAATTCGCATTCTCAATTCCTTTTAGAGGTTCATCATACATTGCTCTTTTGACAAAATTATTGTCCATTTGAACATAATATTCCTCGTTATACTGATTCAATCCGCTATTAATGAGTGATATGAAAATGGTCCTCCCATCAGGACTGATACTGACAAAATCATTCATTGTTGCTGAAATTACTTGTCTAATGCTATTATCAGAGGCTTTGTAAACGGTAATGTTGGAAATGCCGGCATTTGATAAAATAACAGCTTCAATAGTATCAATAAATGTAATGCTTAATTTATTCGTAGCTAGGCTGACAATTTCATTGATTAATGGCATAGTTCTTTTAATCAAAGGATTAAGATAACCTAAATTGATAGAATATTATTCGTAAAGTATTAAATTTTTATGATACAGAATAATTTGTGTCAGAATTAAATAACATACCGTGGTCTTCTATAACTTTAGGCAACTGAGTTGAATTCAAAGACCAAGAAGTATTTTTATCATTTGTAAAGGGTGAAGCAAATAGAAAGGTATTATTCTTCATAACCACGTTTGCTCCAGCTCCAAACAAATTTGTATAAAAAGGTCCTGGCTGATCCAAATTAATTGGATTGTCATATTCACCATAAGCATATACATAAAGAGTAGTATTGGCTATTTTATACAATATATAACCGCCTAACGGCATTGATTTTATATTCCAAATCGAATCTTATATGGAATTATTAGGGAAACGGCCTACACCGCTCCTGATGATAAAAAATTGATTTTCACGGATATGCCATAAAGATACAAACGTGACTACTCCCAAAAGTTGATGCATCTATTGTATCACAAGTAGCAAATTCAAATGTCACGTTGGGCTGATTTACTTGATAGAGAACTGCCGTTCTATTCAGAGTTTGGTTGTAGGATATAAAGGTCACATTCAGCCCTCCCCGCGAAAGTAACAAATTGCTATCATTACTATTATTAAAATGATAACTATAAAGTATTGCATAACCGCTATCAACAGTAGGCAAAATAATCAAATCAGAATAATCTAAAGAAGCTAATGATTCTAAAAAAAGAATAAAGTTAATAAATAAAGAACAAATAATATAAGTAAAAATAGCTTATTTTATAAAAATATTCTAATTTGCCTGCGTAATCTTTAAAATTATAAGTAGCACCATCTGTTAGCTCTGATAAATTCCCCAAATTATTACTATGATGATTGATTATTAATAAATACTATATAAATAGTATAGTTCATATAAATAATAGCAAATAGGGGTGTCAATAGAAACCAAGCAAAAGTTTTTTTTTTTAAAACTTTAAATTAAAATATCACAACGCTACTTGACAAAATTTTTTTATTTTAATTCTATAACTAACTTATATAGAATTAAAATAAAATATTTATCAAGTTTGATTTTATAGTTGTTGAGATATTTTAATTTAAAATTTTAAAAAAATTTACTTAGAAACATTGCATGGTTTCTACTACACTCCCCAAATAATAATTTTAATAGAAATCCAAATTACATTGAATATTGATTTCCATTTCCAAACATCATCGTTGTAATTATATACAAATCCGAGAAAACCAAGGTTATTGTTTATATTTAATTGAATTACACGTTGAGAATCCCAGACACCGGAAATAACAGCTAGAACATCAATATAAGTTGGTCCAAAAGATATTGTACTGATTAATTGTAGAATATTAATTATATTGATGGATCAATAACGATAACAATAAACTTTATAAATTTATAAATTATCATACCTTAGAGTTTTTGCCGTTCCAATCAATAACTTTCCCCCACTCTTCATAAGCCAAAGGATCAGAAACATTTGTAGTTGACATATAAGATATTAAAATAAACGGATTCTGTAAAGGAAATATATCAATAGGGTCAAAATTTTGATCAAATAAGCAGTAATTTATAGGTTTAAATCGAGATTAATCTCATTAATTGTTCCATTCAAGTGAATAATCCTTATACGTAATATTATCGTTGTTTTTTTGTGTTGAATTAAACCGTGTAATTCGAACAAGAACTGTATCGTCTTTATAAGTTTTAATGTCTTTTACATGTGGTTTTTGAGGGGGGCCAATGTCTAATATACTCTCTGTGTAGGTAAAAACTGATTTCGTTGGGTTTATAAGTAACCAAAATGATATCAAAAATAGATATTGGGTCACAGCGTTATAAAGAAAATTAGATAGTTTCATAGCGATTTAATTATTGAGATTTTTACGTGTCATATGAAGAACGTAAGATGAATAAATACTGTCGGAGGCTAAATGAGAAAGAGAAGCGGATCAAGAAATCAATCAAACCACAACAACCACACAACCAAACCAAAGATAGAGGCGGTGATTTAGATTTAGCGAAGGTAAGGCTAGTTTATGAAGTATGATTATAGAATCAAATGAATGACTTTTGTATGCGAAAGGCGTCAAGTTTTTATTTTTTGTCCCTCATCGAGGGGTGATACAAGGCAATATTCAAGACAAACAAACGCAAACCACAAAGACAAACGGAAAC